TTTCTGGATTTCCACCACAACAAACATCCACACGAACACCAGGTTTCCCAGCAGAGCCCAGCACATGAACAAGATTACCCATCCGGGGTTTCTGTGTGTTTTGTATGTTTGACTGAGAAGCTGAATGAGCTGCTGCACCTCCGATGTATACAGGAAACAGCAGTGCTAATGGATGAAGAGCAGCTTAGCACAAGGAAGGAAAGCACAGCATTGGGTTAAAAGCGGCAGGACTGTCGCACCAAGTAGCCAAGCACATGTACTCAAGTACTGATGGAGTACTGGAGTACACGTCTACATCACTGTAGCCAAGATGAACTGCTGGAAGAGCAAAGAACACTTCAGCAGATTAGAGAGAGAAGCCAAATCCCCCACATCCACGGACATCGCAGCGTGGAGGGCAGTGTGCAGCATCGTGGCTTCAGCTTCATTCTGGTGGTCTGTTCTGGAGTCAGCTGTGCACTGATGAGGCACAAGCTGCTCTGGGACCTGATACGAGTCCATTAGCCAATCAGTAAGGCTGACAATGGTTCTGAGTATTGGTCAGCAAATTGTTTTAAGATGTTGAATTTAATACTGAACTCAATAACAGTGGTCACTGGCATATATTTAGTCACCATAGTTGATCATCTAATTTACAAAAGTAGTTTCACTACATGTAGGTTGGTGTCTGTAGTGGAGAAGAAACTTTAAAAGTTTCAGCTAACAGATGCTACTTTAGCTAATCATATGTGATGGATGTCCAAGCTTCAGCTCAAAATCAAGATATTTCATTAAAGTCACTCTACACCAGCGGTCCCCAACCTTTTGTGCACCACGGAGGCGTCACTGCACACATCACAAACATTACTGTTATGATTTTTTATAACTGGAGTTTTTGTTGTTGTTCCAAATACCAGTACATCGTGATTTATCCAAACAGGTCACAATTACAACTCTGCTGTTCTTGATTAATCAACATTGCATGACTAGAACAAATGGTCAAACCTGAATAATGCAGGAAAAACACAAGAGGAACAAACAACAACAGAAAATGTGGGAGTGCAGTGTTCAAGAGTCCTTCAGTTCTCTCAGGTTTATCTGCTCATTCAGTCCATGTGTTCTTTAGTCTCCGTTTTCTTCTGCTTCAGGTCTTGTATTTTGTCCATTTCAACCGTTGTTCTTCATGTTGTGCTTCTTGCAATCTCAGGCCATGTGTTGTTTGAACACATTTGAACTCTTTAGTTTTGGAAGACCCCCTCTGTCTGTTGGGAGCTGAAGAGTTTCCAACCTGACCCTCGGTCTCTTGCCTCCCCAAATAAACCTTATTATCCTGTTCCATGTTACAAATTGCTCTTGGGGGACCTCTACTGGTAGAGATTGGAATAAGTAAAGGAGCCTCGGTAATATATTAATTTTAACAATTTAAATTTTTGAATTCAGATCAAGTGTACGAGTCGACCATCTGTCACCGTCTTTCTGTATCTCTTCATTTATCTTGTCGTAGTTTGCTAACAAATATTAATCATTTTAGCCATTACAAAGTTTCATAAACAAACTAAATGACTTTTTATTGATAAATATGTGTTTACGTTTTCTTCTGTCTCGGTATCGAGTCTCTCCCACTTTCTGAAGAAGCTCTCTTGAGGCGTTTGTGTTTTATTCATGTCGGTGTCGGTTGGGCCGACGGCTTCGTTGAACGGCAGGAAGACGAGCTACACCGCTGGAAAAATAAACCAGCAGAACGCTTTTATTCTTTCTGTGCAGCCTGGTACGGGTCCGCGGCCCGACGGCTGGGGACCGCTGTTCTACACCACGAGTTTCAAAAGGAAGATTCAGAAAATGAACCGGTTGTTCTGTAAAAAACAATCTGTTTTCAGAGAATTCAGAGGCAAAGCAAATAGAAGACGAGTATAGAAACAAATTAAATGTAAAATATCTGTAGTTTGTGGAGTCACCAGTTCCTCCCCAGTGCTGGAAAAACAGCTGATTCCAGGTTTCTTCAATTTTTGCAAAAGAAATTATCAAATAAAATTAAACCTACTTTTTTTCTTTTTCAGTGATTTACTGCATTATACCTACGTCACAGTTTTGACCTCCATCTACTTCTAGACACAGTTGTGCTGTTTCTGTCGACTTTATATTCAGTAAATATGTAAAAATGTGGCAGGAGCAAAAACCCAGGAGCTGCACCAGTTTCCCATTTCTACAGATATCTGAAACATGCGCAGCGTAGCGAGGACACGTGAAGCATCAAACACAAAGACAGAAACCTCAAAGACGTGGAAATGTCTGCAGCATGTATCCTGAACAGGGCAGAAGACAGAAGGAGAGGAACAGCAACCAAATGTGTCAATGAAGTACAATAAAATCCCAAACAGGAAAAAAAGAGATGATTTTAAAAGGATTTGATCTGGTCAAAGATCTCCGCCTATTATGGACATGTAATCTGGTTGTGAAAGCCATATTGTTTCTCCGTGGATGAGTCACCTTCATTCAGCGCTTCCAGAATGATCCTTGACTGATAATACAGCACTATTTACCGCCCACGCCTGGCCGTGCTGAATGAAAAACAGAAAGACCGACGGGAGCAGCAGAGAGACAGAGCACTGCTCACACAGATGCTAATGCAAACATGGCTCCGTGTCCCGCCGATCAAAGCGTCCGTCGGGCCGCTGACGCCATCGGAGGCCGGGTCGGTGTCAGCCCACAGCGCCACAGGGCAGCGGGTGTGTGAGCAGGACATTCATGGAGCCATGACACCACACACACTGACTGAGGGGACGGAGGAGTGTGGACGGAGGGATCGGCAGGTGTCGCTCAATCATCCGCTGCCTCTCCATCAGAAAGTTTGCTCGGTCAGACGACTGATCGGTGAGCAAACTGTAGCTCTTAAACCCGACGACAGTTTCAATCGAGTGTCCAAAACTGACGGGTTTAAATGAAATGAAGTGCTTCGTACGTTTTAAAGAGCTGCTGGTGTATGAGTAAGTCCCGTATCATCATTTGGAATTCAGAGAGGTTCATTCCCACAGGGCTCCCTATTCAGCCTGCGCCAGAGATAATGGGCACGAAAACAGGCGTACGAATATTCACAATGGGCACTTGAAGCCAGTAATGTAGGTGTGTGTGTTAGAGAGAGAGCGCAGAGAAATATTTAGAGGCCGAGGATGAATCAGTAGAAAGTGGCCCAGGAGTGATGCGGGAAAAGAACAATGGATCCTGGAAGGCGAGAGACAAGACGAATGACTGTTAAAGCACAGATGAGGAGACGAAGCCAAGACGGAGCCGCTGCTCTGAGAAAACACGAGGCGTTAAACAAAAGCGCTCTCTTGACTGTCCGGGACGCAGAACCACCGAACAGCGCCGGCCTCCCAACGAAACGTTAAAGTGAGTTAACGAGGAAAACCTGAGAATGACAGCGAGGAGGTTGTCAGATCCGATTCTTTAGTCGGAAGCCCAAGAACGAACCGGAGAAATGTTCAGCTCTCAGATGTAGAATTTAATCAGGTCACAGGTGAAGTGAGGCAGCACTGGGCTCAGAGCGACAGACAGCAAGCCCATGTCCAGCTGAACCGAGGGTTCTGGGTTCAGGTTCCAGATACCTTCTTGGGCTGGGCCTGAGATAAGACTTGGAGTTGAATTGTCCAGTCACTGTGACGAGAACAGGCTGTTCATGTGGAAGTTCACTGAGATGGAAACAGAACCTGCTTGGATCCAGTCCAGAGTGTGTGTGTGTGTGTGTGTGTGTGTGTGTGTGTGTGTTGTCCAGAAGGTGTGTATCTAAAGCAGCTGATAGGAAAGAGGAGTTTCTGCTGCTGTCTCCCAGTGTGTGAACCAGTTCTCAGCGGCCATGTTCTCTGCTGTGCTCAGTAGGAAACCACAGGCTCGGTGGAGAAACTCAGATTCAGAACACATGATATCTGGAAACATAGTGAATGATAAAGGTGCTGAGCAAACAGAGTGTCGTCACGGCGCCTAACCTGGACAACGGCGTGACTGAGAACGATGTGGCTGCTGGTGAGCGAGCATCAGTGTGGGTGTGTCTTAATCAGCTCGGCGAGGAGGAACATTCATGAGCGCTTCTTTCACTCGGGCGAAGCTGAAGAGTCTAATTGGCTTTTCGCCGTTGTACATTCGCGATGGGGCTGCAGGGCGGCGCAGTTGGTCACAGCTAGAAGGTCGCCGGTTGGCGTCCCGGTGAGGACACCCGGGATCTTCCTGCGTGGAGTCTCCATGTTCTCCCCGTGCAGCGTGGGTTCTCTCCGGGTTCTCCGGCTTCCTCCCACAGTCCAGAAACATGCTGAGGTTAATTGGTGATTGTAAATTGTCCGTAGGTGTGAATGTGAGTGTGCTTGGTTGTCTGTCTCTAAGTGTAGCCCTGTGATAGACTGGTTACCTGTCCAGGTGAACCTGCCTTCACCCTCAGTCAGCTGGGATAGGCTCCCCATAGACTCCCCCCCCCCACCACCCCGGTGAGGGTTAAGCGGTGTATAGACAATGGATGGATGGACGTTCACGATGAAGATGCTGATGGGGCAGTACGGAGGCTCACGCTGTACACATGTACGTAGAACATGATCCCAGCTGAGGCTCAGCTGTTCTCAACATCCTGAACAGAGACACTGAACCTTCAACCAGCAGAGTGTTTACCGGGTCGGTCTCAATGGATCTCCTTGTATTAAATGATCTTTTATGTGTGTGCCAACTTTGAATTCAAATAAAAATAAACACAAACAGCTCTTTGCAAGATCAGTCTCATTAAAATACATTTGAAAATAAAAATAAAGTGACATTATTTGGACTTCTGTGTCGAAGCAAACAGCTGAAAATGCAACAGAATAGAAAATACTGTATTTATCCCAGGCCTGGGAAAGTACTGGATGTAGGAATATGTCCCCAAATAAATATTCACAAAGTTGCTCAAATCTGAATTCCTTGGTGCACGTGTGTGTGTGTGTGTGTGTGTGTGTGTGTGTGTGTGTGTGTGTTCAGAGAAGCAGCTAACAGAAGTTTGGACTCACGTCTGTGTCGGGGCCCTTGTCGGCTCCGGGGCAGGAGAAGCTGACGAACTCATGGCACCGTTTGTGGACCACAAAGCAGCAGACTGGGAGAGAAAGAGACAGAACGGAGAGTTTTTAAAAACATCATTTATGGCATCAAAAGCCGTTTATCTCGTTTTCTTACGCGCTCATAAAACGCGTTCAGCCACTAAATCTGCTTCTTGGGGGAATAAAAGCGTGAACACAGGCAGACACAGTGTGATGTCCTTCTGTTTTGTGCAACCTGTCAGACAAACGGTTGAGGGAGAGAGTGTGCACGTCGATTATCGTCAATCAGCCTCACAGTGAGTTTGGCAGCTCGCACGCTCACGGATGCACAAACAAACGCGTACAGACAAACTGACTGGAATGCATGTGTGCGCCCACGCTCACGCTCACGCTCACGCCCACGCTCACGCCCACGCCCGAAATGTCACCGTGCGATCTCGTGCCTCTGCAGCTCTCGGCTCTTTGCAATCTGTTGGGCTCCACACCAACTGTATCACTGCCTCCCGCTGAATGTGACTGTACCCGAGCGGCCGCCGCGACACCTGACGCTGCGCTCACGTCAGCGGCGGTGACATTTACATGTGGCCGCGGCTGCAGATCTGGAGCGGGAAGCCAAAACCGTTGGACATGTGTGACAGCTAACGCACACGCTGACTCTCACTGTGCTCCTGTCATTCTTTCGTCTTTTTGTTTTTTCCACTCTCACACAAGCTGTCTGTCTGGCTGTCATGTGCACTTTGTGCTCTGCCACCGTCACGTATGTGCAGCTCTTGTCCTTCACTCTGCCAGACAATCTGAGCGGCTTCGGCTCAACGAGGGAAACCAGTTTGCTGAGAAGGAAACAGCAGCGATGCATTTCAGATGGACAGCCGTGGTTCATGTGGTCGCTGAGTGTTTTACTGACACCAGAGGAATCCTAATCCCAACCCACAGCGCTCGTCCTTGCTGCTGGTGCAGCGCCATGAATTCATCTCTTTGAGGAATAAAGACGAAACGAAGCAGAAACGGAGACGAAGGGGATAAAAAGCTCAGTGAAATAGTAGCCCTGCTCTGGAGCCGCCATCGGCACCGTTCGTCACTTTCACGAGTCCAGAAAAACAGGTTCTGGGTGCAGATGGTTTCTACGACCAACCCAGTCTCACGTCGATTGGTGAAATAGTCACAAAACTTAATCCACAGCTTCATGTCCTGGGACTCAATATGCCGACGTTCTCATGTTCCCCAGCACGAAGCTCAAACCAATACACTTCAGTTGGAACTATCTTTCATGCCTGGGACACGTTTTCCCATCAGACAGACACTGGGATGTTTCTGTCGTTGTTTTCTTCCCACAGTCAGCATGAACCAGTTTTCCTGTTCTGGCCCGTCCACACTCAGAACTACAGAGGTCACCATACAGATGTGTGGCCCACATGGACCAGCGTTAGCGTTCTGGACACACCGGCGCTGCTGTAAGCTCCGTATTCATTCAAATAGAAAAGACCAGAAACATATTCAGGCAGAGAGAAGCTGAGGTCGCTCTGAACGTGATCCCACCACATCGCTGCTACCGTTTGTTTGTGGTAAAATAGAAGAGCTGTCACTGTGTTTGGGCTACATGCTCGTCCTTACCTCCTTTTTAGAGAAATCTTTCTCATGTCAATAGTTTCAGCTCATCAACTTCAGAGCCTCAGTATTCTGATTATTTTTGCTCCAGCTGTTTCAAAGTTTCACATCTTCTGCCGCTTTAGTTCTTTCCATTTTCATTTCAGATCTTTACATGACACCACACAACAGATGCCAGATAATATGATAAGATATGTGTAAACTCCCTAAAGTCTGTTTAATCACTCATGAGATCACGCTATTATTTCACTGCAAGAAGCTCTGAATTGAAGTTTACATTTTCCTCCATGAGCCTGCAACCGTCCAAAGAGATGCACAGAAGGCTACGTCTGGTCATTTTAAACTGGCTATGAAGGGCTGTCAGTGGTCTGTTCTGGGCTGTCCAGCTGATAGATGCATGGAGTTGAGCCAGAGGTTTTCTTCTTGGACAGTCCGTAGAAGAGGCTGGAACAATCCCATCCATTTATTTTCTGACTGCTGATTTTATGAGCAGTTGTTCAAGGACTCAAGAATTCAGAGAACTTTGTTTGTCGTGCTCACATTCACACATTTGTGGTACGAAATCAGGTCCTGTTTTTGTTTTTTTGTTTTTTAAAGAAAAAGCCTAATAAAGAACAATAAAACAAGAGCAAAATATAAGTAAAAATACAGCAATATGAGTATAGTAAGAAAAAACATATACATCTATAAGCACTAGTGTAGAAAGCCAGAATGACTTGTTTGGCACTAGACGTGTGCAGCAGCGAGGCGGATGTGATGCTGCACTCGGTTGGTTCAAACTGTGCACATCTGTGGATCAAGTGTTTGCTATTGCCGTCAGTGTGTGGTGGTGGTGGTGGTGGTGTGAGGCTGGAGTCTTTGCTGTGACCTCGTTCTTTCCCACGTCCACCTCCAACTCGCCCCGAAGTCTAACTTCCTGTGCTGCATCCCGCCCACTCAGCCGTCAATGGAAAGCTCTGCGTCTGAACAAAATGCTGCTTCCTTCCATCTCCTGTTTCAGCGTTTCACTCGGCAGGATTAGCTCTGAGCGCAGTCGTCAGGTTTCTCCTCGTCCTCTCTGCATCCTACTTACGATGTGTGAATCACGGGTGTGATGACGTCCACCCATCACACCCACTCGCCCGCCGCCGCCTCCACTCAGCACCCATCTCAGACCCGTTTGTTTTCCTGCGGCGGATCGGCTCGACGCTGAGCCCGGTTCAGAGGTGAACGAGGGCCGCTAAGCTGCGCACAGTGGAGGGGATAAAGCCGGCATTGGACCGAGTGTGTCAGGAAAGCTTACCCAGACTTACAGCAGACAGAGACAGTGTTCCTCTGCGACTGTAATCCCTGGTGTCGACTTTCACCAGCGCACACAAAGAAATGTGAAATGTGTCTTAAGAAAGTCGGAGCCGAAATGCTGCAGTGGCTGAAGCAGGGCGGCGCTGGTGGAGGCTGTGAGGACACCTGACACCGTGTTCATACACAACATGGAAAACACCTGGAACACACACAGATCAACACTCCTGGACCTGAAGGCCTCAATAAATATGAAAAAAACACACAAGAAACTGGAGGATAACAACTGAAAAAGAAGAATAGAAAAGCAAATGTCTCCAGTCGTACACCCTGAGACGGACGCATCTAAACCTGCAGAATCACAGCTGATCCGTTTGACAGCGTGAATGGGCTCCACAAAGTACCATCGGAAAACAGTCGTTCATTTGAGAAAGGCTTGAAACAGCAGAGAGATGTGAGAACTTTTCACCTCCATCCGTTGATGACACGCCATCCCAGAGCTGCATGAGGAAGCCGAGGGCCGAGTTCAAACAGCTGGACCAGCTACAGCAGATGATCCACAACGTCCTCCTCAGTCTCACATTACAGTTTACAGTCTTTATTTAGTGACACAGTCCATTACAGCAGAATATGACTGTAACTGTCACCAGGCTTTCTAGCAATCTGCTGTGTTCAGATGGTGCTGTGCTCATTTTGGTCATGTTGCGTTTAATGTCTTGTTTGTGTTGTTGTGTGTGTGGTTTCTGTTGTTTAATGTGTCATTTGTTTCGTTTCGTGTCTTGTGTTTGTTGTTTATTGTTGTGTTGAGTCTTGTTTTAAGTCGTTTTAGTCGTTCTGAGTCCGGCTGGTTTCACTTTTCACCGTGTTTGTATTGTTGTGTCTGTTTTCGTCGTTTAACGTCACGTTCATGTCGTTTTGTGTCTCGTTTTTATCTCATTAATTATTTAGTTTCTCGTTTGTGTTATTTCGCGTCTCGTGTCTCTTTCTTTACGTTTTCTGTCGTGTTTTTGTCTCGTTGTGCCTCCGTTTTCCTTTGTGTCTCGTTCGTGTGGTTTTAATTTCTTATTGACTTCACGCTGTCTGTTTTGCCATTAACGGTCATTCTTGTTCATTGTTTTGAAAAGAGTCAGATTTGA